GTCAGTCTGGGCAGCAAAAGGCATGGCCCCACCCCTGCCGAGTCTTCCCTGTGGTTGGAGGACTCTGGTGGTGGGCAGGACTAACCCCAGGCCATCTAGGAAGACTGTGCATGTTGGATCTTTCCTATCTGCACATCCGGGCAATATCCCTACCTAGAGAAGACTTTGGGTCCTGACCAGAACAGAACAGAGCCGCTGCTGGGAATCCCAGAACCACTTTTGTTCCTGCGGGCTTGCAGGCTTCTGGGCTGGGTTGACCTATGAAGCACAGGCATTTAGAGACAAATTCGGGGCAGCCCTTCTGCATTAGGCTTGCAGGCTTCTGGGCTGGGTTGACCTGTGAAGCACAGGCATTTAGAGACAAATTCGGGGCAGCCCTTAAGCGATACAATAAGTGGCTTTTTAAAATTCTTTTAAATGAAATAGAAATTGGTTTTACGTGTGTGCAAGATTGTATCAGTTGGACTTCTTCAGTTACAACGGCCAAAAATCCATCTCAGAATGCTCTTTGATAAAAGGGAACCAGTTGACTCACTCGAGGGTTTGGCTGGCCACATGCAGGGAAGATGAGGCGCTCTAACCACTTCCATCTCACCCTGCTCTTTTCTGTGGTGACGACACTCAGTCCCTACGTGGTAGAAGGTGCCTGCCACCAGTGCGGGCCTCCATCCTCTCAGCATCCCTTCCCAGGATTCCCATAGGAGTCCTGGGTGCTCTTGGAATTGGGGCCCATGCCTAACCTTGGACCAAGTACTGTGGCTGGGTGCATTTGGTGCTCTGGCCAGGCCTGGGTTTTATGGCACAGAGATGGTTCCCCAAAGGAAGATGGGGTATTGTCCAATCTAGACACATCATGTGTCGAGGCAGCAGGCAGTGCTAGGTGTGCACATGGACCCTTAGAGACCTTTCAGTGGCTCCCAGCCTGACTAAGGTGTCAGAAATACCACTGTAGACAAACTAGTAAGGATTTATTGCCATTTATTAATTTACTTTGTTAAAACCTAAATGCTAGAATATAGAGTAGAACTTGGAATCATTGAGTCATTCTATGTACAGAGCAGGAAGTGGAGGTTGAGAAATTTGCCCAATATCCTCAAACCAGTAGACAGAAGAACTGAGACCAGAACCTGGATCTTTTGACATGCAGGCTAGGGGCTCTTACCAGAATGAAGTGGCATCTTTTAAGGAGAAGACCCCTCGGTACCCCAGCTGCCATCCACAGGAAGTCATTCATCCCCTGGACTGCAGGACAGGAGCTGACAGAGGCAGGTTATGGCAAGTGGTCTCTTCTTCGTGGTGGCCCAGGGCTGTCTGCGTGGTGGTTGGTGATACGCAGGGGTCTGTCTACACTGTGGCTTCAACCAGTCCCAGTAAACAGAGGAGGCATTGGCTTTGCTCTGGCTGGCTTCTGCCCGGTGCTGCCTCTGTCTCTTCTCCATCTCTCCTGTCATCTTGGCTTCCTGCATGCTCACCCTCCCCCTGTGTTGTTTCCGGCTGGGGCCTGGATAAGGTTGTAGCTCCAGGGCTGCTGTGCCTTCTGGATTATGTTGGAGTGTTTCCTACTAGGGAGATTTGTGCCCCTCTGTCTTCTCCCTTGAAAGAGAATGCCCGGGACAGTGGTGTCAGTCTCAGGTACAGACAGGCAAATAGCATGATTTTGGCCTCAGTTCCCAATCGTTTCCAATTTGTGAGGGTCCAGATATTTATCCAGTTTGGCTGAGCCAGGAATGGGATGTCGTAGAAAGAGCTCTGGGCTTCGACCCTCAAACTGAACAAGAAGAGACCTCAAGTTCAATCTGAAACACACTTCTTGCTTTGGGTGAGTCCCTTCTCTGGGCCTCTGGTCCAGAAAGGGAAGGCTGGCCCTGTGAGGGGCTTCATCTGTTTGAGAGTGTGAGTTATATATCAACAAGCTGCTGCAGGTCCTGGAAGCTTGGGAGTAGTTTTCACCAGCTCTTCTTTGCCCAGACAATGAGGTAGGGCTCTTCTGAGTTTGAGACTGAATTCCTTTCATTCTGACCATCTCTTCAGGCATCTTTCTCCCTGCCCTGTAGATATTTGCTGACAGCCAGTTCTTTCCTGAACAGCCAGCCCATACTGACCAGTGTGCTCCGTCTGCCTTTCCCACTCAGCTCCCAGAGGCCCGCTTGCCTGCCTGTTTCTGTCTGGGGCCCCGTTCTAAGCGATTACTCAGCCTGGGCCATTCCTCCCTGTTCCCTCTGGCTTTGCTGTGCCTCATCCTCTGTGAGTCTGCAGCTTTGTGGGATCTCAGGTTTAGAGTGTTTTGCAGCTTGCGGCCATCGATTATTTCATCTTGGCAGGGACTGTGAGATAAGTAGGATAGGCTTTATCTCACTCATCTTACAGATGGAGGACCCGAGACCCAGAGAGGTATGATTTTCCCAGAGACACAACTTTCAAATAGCAGAGCCAGTCCTGGAATTGAGGTCCTCTGGGTTTAGGCCAGAGTCCACTGTAAAATGTTAACTCATAGGTACATGTTGGGATGGCAATACCCCAGTCTTCCCAGGGAGGGCCAGGGGCTTGAAAGCAGGCCCTGGGCTCCACCTCTCTTCAGCCCCGAGGTCACCTGCACAGCCCTAGTCTCAAAGAAGCACCATCATGTCTGCCATCCCTGTGTAACCCCAAGATACATAGTAAAGCCAAACAACAGAGGCCTCTCCTTGGGGACCATCATAATGGACCCTGGTCTGTGTATTTTTCCTCTCTCCACGTCCCCCAAAGTTGACAACAGGAATGCATGTCATGATGGATATCATCTGAGCAGGGAGTGCATAACTTAGGCTAGCTCTGGAGGATGAATCACTCCCTAAGGAAGGGATTGGGGAGGGTTCCTGGCTCCCCCTCTCACGCCATCCCTGCTCCTTTCACTTGGGGGTGAGGGTCAGAGGCAGTGCAAGGGGAAGATTCACCTTGTGTCTACTCATAGCAACTGATATTGCCACTTTCCAGAGGTGGCAAAGCAGATAACCTTGCGACCTCGGGGATCTTTATTCCTCTCGGGGGCCCTGCCCAAAGCAGTCATGGCATATTATCAGCTCCTCAGTGAAGAAGGAGATTGCTCAGCCAGACCAAGGAGAAATGAAAGCAGGTGTGTGTGTTGGGTGTGGCCCAGCCCCGCAGCTGGGCTCTCCAGTTCACCAGCCACCTGCTCTCTACGTCCTGGAGCTGAACGTTAGTAACACAGGGACAGGCGGGGGTACAGGGAAGGAGTGCTTCCCAAAGCTAGCTGGAAGTTTGGTGCTGGAAGTTACCTGATGGCACCGGGCTGGGCACAAGCTCAGGGCCTCTAACTAGAACTTCCGAGTCTCTGTTGGAAAGGCGACATCCGGAGGACACAGCAACTGAGCAACGGGCCAACTCTGGGTTCCCCCATCCTTTGACTTTGCTTCTCTCTTCCTGCACTCCTGGGGGAGAGGGACATTGCCTCCCTTTAATCTGCTGGCCCAAGCATGGGTTCAGACACCTTTAGGTTTCCATTAGCATAGCTGCCACAGGCTGACTGTTCCAGAAGACATGACTAAGTATAAAAAGAGAACAAGAGAAAGCTTAGGATAGGGTTTATGAAGAACAAAAACAGTCGGGCTCACAAAGTACAGGTTAACCGCTTTGTTTCCAGGGTTTTCAGAGTACTCCGCCCACTGGAGATGCCTGCCTCGAGGGCCAGCCCGCTTCCGCATGCCCTTCCACGGGATCTCAAGCCTCCCAGCACTGGCCTGTCTCCCTGCCTGAGGCACTCCCTAGAGCCCACACCACCATGAATTCTCTCCAAGATGCCTGGTCCACCTCCTGGCCAAGTGCCTGTCCCCCTTTCCTCTCTACCCAGGGCTCTTTGACTGCATGTGTGGCCGGGTGAGGTTTGACCCCTTCCCTAGGCCCCCTAGGGGCTTGGCATCTACATGACTGGACCTTCTAGGATTGCTGTCTTAGTCCAAGTAAACCTTGTCATGGGATCCATCTCTGGATGCCGTGCTCAGGCCCCAGCTTAGCCCACGAGCTGCCATAGAAGGGCTGGTGGTTCTCCAGCATCTGATCGTGGCAGGAAGTGTACATGTCTCCCCACCTGCTTCCTTCCTACTGGGCCACAAGAATAGAAACTGATAAGA